CCCTTGTAACAAACCTACCAGCTTGATGGGTACGCATGCGGTGTTTTTGCCGGGCCATAGATTCACATTTGCTACGCGTGGGGAAGACAAAGAGCAAACACATTATGTCAACATATACAGTATTGGTATATGTTTATAGGCTAAATAGGTGCATGCTCATAAAGAGTACAACACCATAGCACAAAACCTCCCTGTATGCCTCATTCAGTCAATGCGTTATTATGAGATGGTATCACGTTAGGTTAGGTCCCTCACCCGAGCTTCCGCCCTAGCCCTAAAACCTGGGGCCGGCTAGGGGCGGACGAGACGGCCAGGGGGCTTGCTAGGGGCGGGCGCGACGGCCAGGGGGGCGGCTAGGGGCGGGAGCGACGGCCAGGGGCCCAGCTAGGGGCGGACGCGACGGCCAGGGGGCCGGCTAGGGGCGGACGCGACGGCCAGGGGGGCAGCTAGGGGCGGGTGCGACGGCCAGGGGGCTGGCTAGGGGCGGACGCGACGGCCAGGGGGGCCGGCTAGGGGCGGGCGCGACGGCCAGGGGGGCAGCTAGGGGCGGGCGCGAGGGGGGGGGCTAGGGCCTAGGGCGTAAGCGCGGGCGGGCGGGAGGAACCTAACCTACTCATGATACCATGTTAGAAAGAGAGAATGACTAGAATAGGAAGATACAGGGCAATATAGACTAGTGTGTTGTACCCTCTCAGGCACAAACCTGTATAGTCTACAGTAACAACATAAGTTATGTTTGATAGGGGTTGTGGCTCGAAATCCGCTATATGGGCGTGGTATTTCCGCAAAATCTGGGTTGCGCAACTTGGCCGAGTTGCGCAATTCGCGAAAGGAACGGGTTCCGTGAATAATCGTTAAACAAGTTGGCGAACAGACTGAGAGAGATGTGCAACGCGGGTTGCGCAACTCTCAAAATTTGCTGGCTTCGCGCCGGCCGGTACGCCCGAAAGCAGCAACTCACAATGCGAAAACAGATTTTGCTTGAGAAATACGGTATGGTAACGGATGTTGGTGTTCCATTTCAGGCAATTCGTATTCTTCGAGCGCAACCCGATGTTCCAAATGAGTTGCGATTCCCGCCCGAAAAGCGCAATCCAAGGTTCCAACATCGGGTTGCGCTCACCGGGACGGATTTCGCAAATTACGCTTCCCGAGTTACGCAACTTAGGCATGTTTAGCCAAAGTACCACGCCCTTACACGTATCAGGGTCGGTCCCGAATGCGACGCTGGAAAAACAGGCCTCACTACACTAGGCACGCTGATCGATCAGGGTTCACTTCTAAAAAAACGCTGAAATTTCAGGCCCGTGTTTAAAAAAAACCCTGTCTCATCAGGGTCACCCCTAAAAAACACCCTGATTTTACCCTCAATCAGGGTAAAAGGCCTGTAATCTGAGGCCCTGCATGTGCTGTATGTTCGATATAGGCTACATGGGAGTACAATACCAAACCATATATCCCACCTGTATGCCTTGCTAGGGTTCACTTAGATATTATGAGATGGTATCATGCTAGATAGGTCCACCCCACGCTTCCCCCCACCCCATAGCCTAGCCTAATCTCTCTCGCCACTAGGCGCTCACGGTCCTAGCTCTTAACATAGGATTGAATGTCGAGAGAAAAACGTACAAGGGTATAAGCCTAAGTGTTGTACCCTCTAAGATACGAACCCATATAGTCTATACAAACATAACCTATATATGTATATATATATGTTTGACACACCCTTTAGACTGCATAGAAGCAGTTCCTGATGAGAGAAACGGCAACTCAGGGCGGCACTACTAGTCCAACCTCTGAGTCAAGAGTCTAAAGACCAATCAAACAAGTACAGACCAGTACAAGGGCAAGCCCAGGGCGGCACTACTAGTCCAGCCACTAGGAGAGGCCACAAGGCCAGTCAAGAATTAATCAAAGTATATATAAAGGTCAGTACATAGTCAAGGCCCTAGCAGGTGAGAGGTAACAGGAACAAAGCCTAGCTGTACACAGTGCCGCTGATGATCTTTAGGCGCAAGGGCCTTCGTAAAGATATCAGCTATGTTGGCACCGGAGGTCAAGTGTACTACGCGAGCCTAGCAAGGCTGCAGCAGCTCGCGCATGAGGAAGTACCGCAGCTGGATGTGCTCCGCTCTGCCCTCAAGTCAAGGCTCCTGACACAGGAGGATCATGGCCCTATTGTCAGCGTACAGGACTAGCGCAGAGCTAGGCCGCTCACCTAAGTCAGTGAGAAGGAAGGTCAGCCAGTGGAGCTCCTGTGCCGCCATGGCACCGGCGTAGATCTCGGCCTCACAGCTGGACTGGGCAACAGACGAGGAGCGAGTAGCTCTCCACGAGACAGCACCTGAACCAAGAATAAAGCAGTAGCCCTGTGAGGACCTAAGGGTCTCAGCGTCGTCTGCCCAAGAAGCGTCTGTGTGCCTTGTAAGGACCACCGGCCTGCGTCCTCCCAGCACTAACCCCATGCGTGATGTACTCGTGAGAGAACGCAAAACCCTCTTGGCTGCAGACCAGTGCTGAGGTCTGTGTCTGCCTGTGGCTACAAAGTGAGCCAGGATGCTGAGAGGGTATGCGAGATCTGGACAGGTGCAAGTCATCAGGTACATGAGGCAACCCACCAGCTCTGCGTAAGGACCACTGGGCTCTGCTGACTCCTCAGGAACTGGAGCAGAGAGCTTGTGATCTACTAGAAGAGGTGTGGGTTGTGCGGAGGAGAACTGAAGACGGAACCTCTGAAGGACCTGGCGCACCAAGTGTGACTGGGTGAGAGTGATGGTGTGACTGGGTGAGAGTGATTATATCACCGACCAGGCTTGGGATGTACTGGTGCGCTATCTAGCGTAATCCTTCTGTAATCCCTTAAAGCCAATAGCCTCGCGTGGCTATACGCAGGGTGATTCTATCTTCTAGAAGGGTCTATTCTTTTAGGATAAGACAAACCTGGTTACCTAATGTACTCTGGAAGTATAAAAGCGCCTTGTACTGATCGATAGTGCAATCTTTCCTCAAGTCATTCGATCCTGTGACACTTGGTAATCAGGGCTTTTCTCACTCGAAAGCAGCAGCAGCGGGAAAACCTGCCTCGAAAAACCGCCGGGGGCGACCAATTCGACGCCGATTCTGGTAAGCACCAGCTCCGTGATTTTCGAAATACCCCCTCCGTGCGTTATTTGAACAGGATGGCAACCTTCGACAATGCCGAGGTTACCCAGCAGCTCTTCGCGCGCATCGCAGCCCTTCAGGAGGAGATGCGAGCGGATCGCGAAGCGTGGCGAAACGAGTTCGAGCGAGTAACTCGACTCGCCGGAGCGCAGCACGACTCGGCAACGGCGACGACGCAGCAGTCGCAACAGTTTCTCGAGGCTCCAAAACCGCGTCCACCTGAGCCGTTCGATCCGAGCGATCGAAACTCCGACGCCCGCAGATGGATCGCCGACATGGAGATCTACTTCGCAGCCGTCGGATGGAGCTCGCCAGTCTGGGACGGTCAACTCGTACGACTCGGGGCGACGCTGATGCGAGGGCCGGCACTCGAGTGGATTGGCGGCAACAGAACCTTCATCCACGGTGAAGCCACGTGGCAGCAGTTCCGCGCCGACCTGCTGAAACGCTTCGAGATGATAAATTCCAGTTTCCTTGCCCGGGAAAAAATTCATCGCCATCAACAGCTCGGGAGTGTAGCACAGTACATGCAGCAGATGGAGGAATTTTATAACCGAATTCTTGATCTGACAGAAGGGGAAAAAGTACAGTCGTACCTCGTCGGGCTGAAGACCGAAGTCAAACGACAGGTAGCCGCGTCAAACTACGCGAACTACAGTGACGTCGTTTCGGCAACGGAGCGCTTCGACATGGTCAACGCCGGGACACGACGGACGCATGTCGGTAGTACACGACAGGGCGACCGCTCGGCTCACCCCACGTTCGCCGACCCGATGGAAGTCGACAGGTTCGAGGGGCGGCTACGTCCAAAAAACACCAACTACACGTGTGATTTTTGCGGGGTGCCGGGTCATCGAATCTTCGACCGCAACAAAATGAAAGCCGCACGCGCAGAGTATCGGGCACGCAACAGTGGCGGAATTCCTTCGGCCAATCAGAAGACAAAAAACAGGAGTCGCCAGTGATTGCGGATCTAGCTGGCGAAAAAGAAAAGATCCGGAAGCGGCCGACAGCTTCCGGGAAAATCAACGCCGACGAAGCTGATTCGATGCGAGAAGGAGGAAATGATGGGGGGAAATCTCCACCCCATGACCAGTCTTTGCCAGGGAAAATCGCTGAGGAAAAATACGACTCCGCGAAAAAAGACCCTGCCGAGATGGGGAAACTCCTTAAAGACCCAAGAAATTATAAGGATTCGTTAAAGTTATCTTATAAAGATGCTTTAATGAAAACTTATGATTTTCGAGGGGCTAGAGCCTTGAAGAAATTTCGGGAGGGACTCCAAAAGAAGCAGACAGCTGTGGAGATCATACCGGTACCGGACAACATGGGGAAAAAATTAAGGAGTGTGGAAAGAAGCCGACCTTTCCACGGAGTCAACGTCCTCTCTCGACACCAGCCACAACGACTACCCGTTCCCCAGGGAAGACGTCGGTGGAGCTGAAGCAGCTCAAGAGGAAGCTGGGGGTCTACAAGAAGCTGCACAAACCCCGAACTCCTCCTCCGGATGCATCCAGTTCTTCGGCATCAATGACGCGCATAGTCGTCAAGGAAACTCCGGGCCCTGGAGAAGAGCCGTTCTCCAAGCAGCCTCGGCCAGCTGCCAGCTCAGGAGTAGATAGCAACACAAAGGTGTGTACGGAATATTGGGATGTACCCTATGACCCAATCAATGAAACCATTTTTGGGTACTCCGAGCAATGCCTGCCCCTCGTGCTCGAGGTCATCTGCAAAGGACGATGCCTCCAAGCACTCGTGGACAGCGGAGCATCACACACCGTCTGCAACAAGGCAGTAATCGACCGACTTCGGGCAGAGTACAAGCCTTCAGGATTCTCAGCAACGATGGTGGACGGAAGCAAGTTACCAGTACACGGCGAAGCAGTGTTACACCTACAAATCGGACCACTGCGCTGGAGACCTGCACTCCCCATCACCAACATCAAAGGGCTTGACTTGATCTTCGGGCGAGACTTCCTAAAAAGATTCAACCCCGAGATCAACTGGGTGAATCGCACCGCAAGCATCTACAACAATGGACGGAGAGTACAGCTACCCAACTGGGACGAAACAGGAGATATCCAAGTGGAGACACTCGCACAATTCGAGAAGGACGTGAAGCGAACCGACACCGGGTTCCTAGCAATAGCAACAGAGGCGGAGAACGACGGAAAGAAGACCTCGGAACCTCCGGGAAAGATCAAGGAATTATTGAAGGAGTTCCAAGACATTCTTCCTGACGATCTTCCGAACGAGCTACCGCCACACTGGACGCATCAACACGAGATCGTAGAGGAACCGGGTTCGAAGCCGACCTTCCGAGCACCATATCGGCTCAGCCCTACGGAGCTGACCGACATGAAAAAACAGATCGAGTATGTCCTAGCCAAAAGACTCATCCGACCATCCACTTCGCCGTACGGTGCCCCTGTACTCTTCACACCGAAACCGGACAGAAGCCTGTGCATGTGCATTGACTACCGAGCTTTTAACAAGCAGACCATCAAGAATAAATATCCGATACCGCGAATCGATGACCTGCTTGGCCAGCTTCGGGGAGCTACGGTATTTTCCAAACTAGATCTGCGGTCCGGATATTGGCAGATACGGATGGCGGACAACTCTATCCACAAATCTGCTTTCCGAACTCGGTATGGATCGTACGAGTATTTGGCAATGCCGTTCGGACTCACCAACGCACCGGCAACATTCCAAGCCGAAATGAACCACATTCTACGACCACTTTTGGACGAGTGCGTGGTGGTGTACCTGGACGACATCGTCATCTACTCACGCAACATGAAGCAACACGTCGAACACCTGTGACGCGTCTTCGAAATTCTCCGACGAGAACGATTCTACGTCAAACTTTCCAAGAGTGAATTCGCCCTTGAGAAGGTCCAGTTCCTAGGACGCTTGGTGAGCGCTCAAGGAGTTCACGTCGACCCCAAGAAAATCGAAGCCGTACGTACATGGAAGACACCCGAGAACGTGAAGGAGTTGCAGCAGTTCCTAGGCTTCGCTAATTACTACAACAGGTTCGTGCCACAATATGCGAAAATTGCAGCACCACTCACGAATCTGCTGAAGAAGAACACGCCCTACAAATGGGAGCCGAAGCACCGGGAGGCCGTGGAGCAGCTGAAACAAGCACTTACGTGCGCACCTGTACTCATCTTGCCAGATCCCGAACGCGACTACGTTATCGAAGCTGACGCCAGCGACCAGACAGTGGGAGCAGTCTTGATGCAAGACCAAGGGAATGGACTGCAACCAATCGCCTACCTGAGTAAGAAACTACACGGGGCAGAACGCAACTACCCGATACACGACAAAGAGGCCCTGGCTATCATCATCGCCTTCAAAGCATGGAGATGTTATCTCGAAGGACGAAGAACAACCGTCTACACCGACCACTGCAGCCTGAAATACTTGAAGACACAACCCAACCTTTCCAGGCCGCAAGTCCGGTGGATCGACTTCCTCGAGACACACTTCCACTAGGACATCGTGTACAAGCCCGGTCATAAAAACAAAGCAGACGCTCTCAGCCGGCCTGCACACGTTGCCGCTATTCAGGTCGAAGGGATGAATCCACTACTCAAGGGACTCTTCACACACGGGTACGCCGCCGACCCCGAAATTCCCTTGGGAGAGAAACGACATCTACTACAGTGGGACAGTGACATCGCGTATCGGAAAGGATCAACGAAAATCCGGGTACCCAATTACCCTCCTTTGCGCCAGTTACTACTCGAAGAGTACCACGACGTCCTCTACGCCGGACACTTCGGTAGCAACAAGACGCTGACCGGTATTGCAAAACACTACTACTGGCCCCACATGGCAGAAGATGTTCAGAAGTTCGTCACCTCGTGTGATACATGTCAGCGGATGAAGAGCAGCAAGCAGAAAAAGGCGGGACTACTGCAGCCTCTTCCTTTCCCAGAACAACCATGGCAAGTGGTTAGCTTGGACTTCATCACCGGGCTACCACCTACCACCAGTGGTCATGACGCAATCCTTGTCGTCATCGACAAGTTCTCCAAAATGGGACACTTCATTCCGACACACACGACCGCACGCACCGAGGAGACAGCACAACTATTTGTTCGATACATCATCTCACAGCATGGCATTCCAACCACACTTATCTCCGACCGAGACCCCAAGTTCACCAGCAAGTTCTGGAAGGAACTTATGTCTCTACTCGAGACCAAACTCGCCATGTCATCTACTTACCATCCGCAGACAGGCGGACAGACCGAGCGCCTCAACCAGATTGTCGAGCAACTCCTCCGAGCAGCCTGCAAGGACGAGATCTCCAAATGGGACTTGCATCTGCCCGTTCTAGAGTTTGCTTACAACAACGCTACACATGCCGCTACTGGACAGACGCCGTTCTTCCTCTGCTACGGACGCCTCCCACTCACACCACAGAAATCGACAACATCTGCTACAGTCCAACCTGCACATGATTTCATCACAACCATGCATCGGCTTTGGGATCGGACCCACAAGCGCCTCCTCGACATTCAGCAGCAACAAAAGCGCTTGGCCGATCGCCATCGCAACGACCACACCATCACGGTGGGAGATCAGGTACTTCTTGACACCTGCAACCTGGACATCAGCCACCTCCCATCTAAACTTCGACCTCGCTTCTGCGGGCCTTTTCTCGTTGAAGCACAGGTACTCCTGTTACCTTCCGCTTACGCCTGCCAGCTACCTGGAAGATTCACAACGCCTTCCAAGTCCAACTTCTGAAGCCCTATCGGGATCCGAACACGATCTTCATCGGACGCCAACCGCCGCCGCCACCGCTCGTCCTCATCGAGAATGAACCCGAGTACGAGGTCGAGTCCGTGCTTGCATACCGCCGTCGTCGGAATGGCACCGTGGAGCTTCTCATCCGTTGGAAGGGTTATGATCCTTCTGAGGACAGCTGGGTACCTGAGTCCGACATGGGTAACGCCCGTCGTCCTCAGCATGACTACCTTGTCAAGCAGGGTGTTACTTCTACCACCCAGCTTTGAGGGGGGGAAGTGTGAGAGTACGACCCCGTTACACCACCGGTCCTTTTCTTATTTCCTTCCTCTTTCATTTCTCTCTTTATCCCATCTCATTTGGTTTCCTATTTTCTCTTTCCCATTTACCTTTGGTTTATCCTGCGATTATAATTATATCACCGACCAGGCTTGGGATGTACTGGGGCGCTATATCTAGCGTAATCCTTCCGTAATCCCTTAAAGCCAATAGTCTCGCGTGGCTATACGCAGGGTGATTCTATCTTCTAAAAGGGTTTATTCCCTTTGGATAGGATAAACCTGGTTACCTGATGTACTCTGGAAGTATAAAAGCGCCTTGTACTGATCGATAGTGCAATCTTCCCTCGACACATTCAATTCTGTAACATACCCTCTAAGATACGAACCTATACAGTCTATACAAACATATATATATATACATATATTTGACACTAGCCTCTTCGCACAGTTGCGGAATGAACTAGCAACAAGGGTACAGGGTGGTTTTTACCTAATCACCTGTACTCTCTATAATAATTTGACAGGTGTTGCAGGAAACTAAGTATAGAATCTTAGCCTAGGATTTTTACTGGAATGGTAGAATAGTAAGACAGCGGAAGTCTTTTAAGAGTGAACCGGAGTATATAGTTCTGTGGAAGTCAAGTCTTAAAGTCTCAAAGTTGAAATCTCAAGGTTAATAATAAAAAGACATAACAAGGATTTGTAGTTCTCGGAAAGTACCTATTCGCTAATGTACCTGTTTGTCACTATCGCGCTAAGCGCCATAGATGATAATGAAGAGATGCAACTGTTCGCGTGACTGAAACGACTGTCCTCATGACGAGCGCCATTTTCCTGACGTCATCCTACGGACTTGTATTCTACAGTAGGATTCGACACTATCTACCGATAATCGACTTATATAAATGCTAAGTATGAATTATATTACAACACTCTGCTTCATTTCTGGAAGTTCGACAGTGTCACTTCTTGAAGATCCCGCAAAGCTTGTTACAGTATTGAAACTTCTGTCGTGTCAGCTTCTTCGTGAGGAAATCGGCAGCCATTTCGTTGGTCAAACAGTAGACCAATCACATCCTCCCCTTCTCAACTTCATCTTTGACGAAAAATTAACGCTGTGAAATATGTTTCGTCCTGTTGATGAAACTGGGTTGGTGCGCGATGCGAATTGCACTCTAGTTGTCACACTGTAAAGTAAACTGAGTACTCATCGTCAACTTCGCTTCTTCCAATAGTTCCTGTAGGTAAAGTCCTTCGCGTGTTGCTGTGCAGACAGCAATAAATTCAGCTTCAGCAGAGGAAAGAGCGATGAGCTCCTACTTCGTCGAATTCCAAGAAATAGGCCGATAGGTTCAAGGCGGTAGATGAATCCAGTACGCGAGTGTCGATTAGTAGTATCAGCAGCGTGATCGGCGTCGACGAAACCGTGTAGGTATAAATTTTTACAGTCGACGACGTTGTAGACTAAGCCAACGTTAGGAGTCGAGACAAAATACTGAAGCGTGCAGAGAAGATCGAGTTGATGTTCCTCTTCAAGACGGGGTAGGAACTGAGAGAGTTGACTAGCCGCGTAGGCTAGATCTGGACAACAAGTAACAGCGGCGAAGAGTAGACAGCCTAACTGCTGTTGATAAGACTATAGATCGGTTAGACTCAACAGTGTAGTATTCGGTTTGTAGTCTATCGGTAGTGATCGGTACGGTGTAGTGACTGTAGAAGGAGTGAGGTTGAAGCGGGCAGCAAGTGTGGCTGCGTAATTTGAGGCAGTGAGGTGAATAGACTTCGGTGAGCAGGTTATGTTTAAACCGAAAAATTGTGAGACTGTCTCGGAGACGGTAAGCTGTAGGTTTTTCTGTAGTTTCAGTATGAAGGTATTGGCGAGCGAATCAGTAGTACTGACGTAGAGAATATCGTCGACGTAGGCGACGAGTAAAATATAGTTGCTCCCGTCAGTTAGAAGATCATCCCCTGGACATGCGGTAGTTGACGAAATCCAGCAGTGAGTAGTTGTAAATGTAGGTACTGCCGCCATAGATGGGGTGCCTGCTTAATGCCGTATAGCGATTTTCTGAGACGGCATACGCTCGGTGGGTTAGTAGTATACGAATGCGGGTACTTTACTAGAATGAGTGCGTCGATGGGTGCGTAGAGAAATGCGTTTGCCACGTCGATTTGCCAAAGTCGTAGATTGCGGCAGGTGGCGACACAAAGTAAAATTCGGACGCTCGTATGTCGACCGACGGGAGCAAAAGTTAGCTCGTAGTCAATGCCGTAAGTCTGCTTGAACCCGCGGACGACCCATCACGCCTTGAATTTCTCAAACAACCCATTTGCATTAGTCTTGACATGGAAGACCCATTTTCCGGTGAGTACCTTTCTTGCTTTCACTTCTGCTGTCGGTATTAACTCCCATGTGCCGCGACTCTTGAGAGCTGCCAGCTCCCTGTCCATGGCTTTGCGCCATTTTTCGTGGTGAGGACTCGTAAGAGCTTGTCGAACGGTTTTCGGTTCAGGTATTTTACTGTCGTTGTACTGTACAGCGACTGCGAATCCAAGTATCTGTAAGCCGGTTTCTGTAAAACGCGGACGTTCTTCGTTTGCACCTGCGAAATTTTCTTCTGCTCCTTCTTCCCCCCCAATTTCGTCAGGTGTAACACGAACTGCTTCGTTAGAGACGGCGAGCATCGGCTGCTGTTGACGATCGCGTTCGTAACTGAGGTGGACTTCGCGAACGTCATCCGGGTCAGCATCAGCGAGGCGAATAAATTCCGGGATGCCAGTCGACGTGACAGGTTCGGGAATATCCGTTGCGGCAGCTGCGGAGGCTTCAGAAACTGCTTCGTCCTGTACATGAGCTTCGGCTTCGTCAGTTGCAAATGCACGCAAGCCTTCGAACAGCCTGGCGGCCACTGTCTGGTGGGCACTGGCAGCCACTGTCTGGTGGGCACGAAAAACTGGCAAGGTGAGTCTTTCATAGAAGAGACAATCACGTGAAGGGACGATTTGTTTTGAACGAAGATCCAAAATCTTCCATGCGTGATACTGTTTTTCGATGCCGAGGTGTACCCCGCATTTTGCCCGTTCTGAAAATTTGCCGAGTGTTGCAGTTGGAGGACAAAACTGCACAACACACCCAAAAGCTTGTAAAATTTTGGTACTTCCCACTATTCGTGTCCAATGCAGGTGTGGAGAAGTAAACTCGGGCAGTGACGTGGAAGACAGTAGGTTGTGTAACAGCACGGCGTGTTCCATCGCATACGGCCAAAAGCGAGGAGGAAGAGCTGCCTGCGTCAGCAGAGCACGCATCTTCTCTTGCATAGTCCGATTCATCCTTTCTGCTACCCCCATCTATTGGTGTGCATGTGGGTGAGACTGCTTTTGTTTGATGCCGAGGGTTTGGAGGTAGTCTGTGAAGGCGTTGCTCGTGTACTCCCCTGCACCATCGCTCTAGAATTCTTGCAGTTTGGCGCCAGACTCTCTTTCAGTGACGGTGAGCCATGCGATGAAGACCGAATGAGCGAGATGTCGAGCAGGAAGGTTGGCTGTCCAAACGTAGCGAGTAGATGCTTCGATGAAGGTAATCACGTACTGCTCTTCTTTAGGTCCTGCTTCAGGTAAGTTAAGAATATCGCCGTAGACTTTCTGGATCAGTTAATAACGAGTGGAGCCAGGAAAATGACTCGGAAACGGATCGTGGGTGAGATTGGCGACCGGACACGTGGTGCAAACCGTTGGGCGAGACTGCGGTTTCATCTCCGTGCCGTCAGGTAAGAGAAGGCTGTTTTTATCTAGAACTGCTGCTTGGATTGAATGATTTAAAATCCCTTGCGATGGATGTCCTAACCGCTGGTGCCAAATTTCTTCTGTGGATTTGTGTCCTGATGATCGCAGATAAAAGTCGGCGTTAGAATAAAATGAAGAAATGATAAAAGGAGAAAGAGCTGGCGACATGTCAATCTCCCCTTCGACAATGGTTTTCGTTGCCCGAAAATCAATATCCACGTGTTGATAGTCTGTTTCGTCTGGGTGATCCCAGGGACCAAGAGCAAGAATGCGTTCGGAATCACCAGAAGTGCCCTGTGCCGTGAACTGAAGAACTGATACTCCATGTTGAGTAGCGGCATGACCGAGGTAGGTATTTGATAAACTGTGCCATAACTCCTGATCCATTGTATCACAATTCCCTTGTGTGCGGATCTTGTGTGCCAGGAGTTGAGCTGTGGAGAGAAGATTGAAGCCAAGTCCGGCAACGATAAGAACGTTGGTAATGCGTGATGAATATGCTGTGTCGACTGATTCAAGCATTACACTCCCAATGGATCTTGCCATAATGGTTTGTCCGTTTGCAACTGTGACAGGTATCGGACGACGAAGTGGATGCTGGTTGGTGATGAAGCTTGTTTCAGCGGAGCACATGTGCCAACCGCAACAGCTGTCGGGTCCTGAAATGACTTGAGCAAGGTTAGCATAAACTTGAGGTAAGGGAATGCCCTGTGCACTGGTATTTTCTTCAAGTTGTGTCTCGAAATCGGTTTCTGAAACATCAACGGTTGTAACACATCCAAAAACCCCTTTCCCTAAGTTTGCAGATGCAAAGACCGGAGATCGATGCTGTGACGACGCTGTGTTCTGCAGTGGTTTCGGCATCTGCTGTGCCTGGGACGTCGACTAGTGCGTTGGTTGATGTGGCTTCGGTAACTCCTGCGAACGATGATACGGTTGTGAAGTGTTGCGACAGTTTTGATGGCGGCTGCGACAAGTTTGGTAAGTATGTCCTGGTTTCTTGCAGAAATATCAGAAGGGATATTTCGGGGGAAGTTAATCAGCTCCGTTAAAACGTATAGTGGTCATAATCTGTGTGCTGTTAAGCAAATTCGGCGGTTGAAAAATGATACCCTGTTGTTGAGGCTGTTGCTGTTGTTGAAATTGCTGTGGATGTTGTTGTTGTGGCTGATGTTGCTGTTGCTGCTGCTGTTGCTGAGCAGGTGAACGTCCGAAGATGTAAAAGGGATGCTGTTGCTGAGACTGCGGCTGCTGCGTAAAAGGTGAGAATGCAAATGAGCCAGTACTTGGAGCTGAAGCTCCACGTATGTAACTTGAGCCGTCAAGGCTCATTCCACTAAATGCTGACGATATTGACTGCATTGAAAACTGTTGTGTTGTTGCTTGTTGTTGTGCTGTTGCATGTGTTTGATGTTGTTGCGTTGCAGGGGCAGTCGATGAAGTCCCGGGAGTATTAACAGGAGGATTTTGCTGCAGCTGCTGCATGCCGATGTGCGCATAAGCCGGTGGAAACGGTCCAGAGGCTGAGAGACAAGTGGCGGTCGTGGAGACAGGTACTCCGGTAGTTCCGGAAATAGATCTGGTAGATTGCGCTGGTGTTGTTCCAGTCATTTTGACAGTAGTCTTAATTCCAGACAGTTCTCATACCATGTAATAATTTGACAGGTGTTGCAGGAAACTAAGTGTAGAATCTGCAAACACAAACACTTGGAAAACCTCAAGTGTTAGCCTAGGATCTTTACTGGAATGGTAGACTAGTAAGACAGCGGAAGTCTTGTAAAAGTGAACCTGAGTATATAGTTCTGTGGAAGTCAAGTCTTAAAGTCTCAAAGTTGAAATCTCAAGGTTAATAATAAAAAGACATAGCAAGGATTTATAGCTCTAGGAAAGTACCTATTCGCTAATGTACCTGTTCGTCACTATCGCGCTATGCGTCCTAGATGATAATGAAGAGATGCAACTGTTCGCGTAACTGAAACGACTGTCCTCATAACGAGCGCTATTTGTTGACGTCATCCTACGAACTTGTATTCTACAGTAGGATTCGACACTATCTACCGATTATCGACTTACAAAAATGCTAAGTATGAATTATATCACAAAACTCTCTAAGGCATGCCCCTATCTAGGCTATAGTGCCTAGCAAGAGACAAGCAACTCAGGGCGGCACTACTAGTCGAACCTCAGAGACAAGGGTCCGAAGACCGGTCAACAAGTATACAAACTCGACTAGAGCAAACCAGGGCGGCACTACTAGTCCGGCCTCTGGAAAAGAAGCCATAGGGCAAGTCAAAAGGTATATATAAAGAGTAGTACACAATCAAGGTCCTAGCAAGTGAGGAGCTACAGGAAATAGACCAAGCTGCAAACAGTGCCACTGATGATCTTTAGGCGCAAACGCCTTAGTAAAGATATCAAACCTGATGGCACCGGAGGCCAAGTGTACTACGAGGGCCTGGCGACAGCTCGTGCAAGAGACGTACCGCAGCTGGATGTGCTTCGCTCTGCCCTCGAGTCAAGGCTCTTGACACAGGTGGATCATGGCCATGTTGTCAGCGTACAGGACCGGGGCAAAGCTAGGCTGCTCACCTTCGTCGGTGAGCAAGAAGGTCAGCGAGCGGAGCTCCTGTGCCGCCATGGCACCGGCGTAGATGTCAGCCTCATAGCTAGACTGGGCAACAGATGACAAGCGAGTGGACCTCCACGAGATGGCACCTGCACCAAGGCTAAAGCAATAGCCCTGGGAGGATCTGATTGTCTCAGCGTCGTCTGCCCAAGAAGCGTCTGTGTGCCCTGTAAGGACCACTCGCCTGCATCCTCCTAACATCCATCCCATGCCCAATGTACTTGCTAGATAACGCAGCCGATCAGTGCTGTGGTCGGTGTCTCCCTGTGGCCACAAAGCGCCCCAAGATGCTGAGAGGGCATGTGAGATCTGGACGAGTGCAAGTCATCAGGTACATGAGGCAACCCACCACCTCTACATAAGGACCACTCGGCTCTACTGACTCCTTAGGAACTGGTGCAGAGAGCTTGTGGTCTACTGGCAGAGGTGTGGGCTGTGCAGAGGAGAACAGAAGGCCGAACCTCTGAAGGACCTGGCGCACCAAGTGTGACTGTGTGAGAGTGATGGTGCGTGCTGCTCTGTCCATGGAGATCTGCAGGCCAAGGTAGCGGTGCAGCTCTCCTAGGTCAGTGCAGGTGTATCTCCTCAGCAGCTCAGCCTTCACAAAGGCCAGTGCGTCTTTGTTTGCAGTAGTGAAGACCACAGGTCATCTACGTAGGCAAGGATATAGAACGGGGTCTGGCCAGAACGAACGAAGAGCGAGGGGTCTGCAGATGACGAGAAGAACTATAGGCCAGCTAGCTTAGCATGCAGCGTGTTGTGCCACTCATGAGGCGCCTGCCGCAGGCTGTAGACCGGGCGCGGAGGAGCCACAGGGTCCCAGGAGGGAAGGTACCGGTGAAGCCTTGCGGACGGCGCAGGTAGACCTGCTCGTGTAGACTGCCCTGGAGAAATGCTGTGGAGAAGTCGAGGGAGTGTAGCTCGTAGTCACGCTGTGCTGCTACGTATAGTAGCGCCCGAAGAGTGGTCATCTTTGCGGTTGGGGCTAAGGTCTAAAAGAAGTCAACACCCTCGCACTGACCAAAGGCTCTAGTCACGTAGCACGCCTTGAACACCGGCGGCTCTCTAGGAGGGCGTTTCACCTTGAAGAGCCACCAGCCATCGACTACGTTCACCCCAAGTGGGGGAACTGCGTTGACGAAGATGCCGATGGATCTCCAGGATGCCATCTCCTGCTCCATGACAGCTATCCACTGAGAAGCCGAGGGTCCCGGGGTCGCCTCAGCGTAAGTGCAAGGGGTCGGGATGTCAAGAGCATCTGGGTCACCCTCAAGGAATAGCAGCGTGGAACAGAGATGGGGAACGGCTTCGGGAAAGCAAGCTCGTACTGCCTGTCCTCTAAGATGTCACTGGCAAGGGCAGAAGCACCCCCGACGGACAGGGGGCAGGCACGGTCAGAGACCAGAGCGGTGGCATAGTCAAGGCGGCGGGTAGAGGCAATGTCAGCGACAGCAGGGACAAGAGCCGACAGACTAGCGACAAGAACGGACGGGCCGGTAACAAGGGAGGCAACAACACAAGGAACAAGGGGATGCGCAACACGAAGAAAGTCAGAGAGAGGAGGCGGGGCTGCAACAAGCGACGACTGAGGAGGCGACGGAAGGAGCGGAGGAGCACGAGACACGTGGGAACGAAGCAACATGGGGTGAGAGCGCTGAACAGGAGAGACAGGATGAGCACGAGACAGACGGCGAGACCAGACGTGAGCGGGAGACGTCGGGTCAGGAGAAAGAGGAGGAGACATAGGAGGGGAACGAGGGGGGAAACGAGTCGGAGATGAGTCCGACGGAGGAGACACAGGGCCGTAGACATGCAGGGGAGGCGGCTGCGGGGAAGGCGCAGGCGGTCGGTTGGGGGAAGAAAGACTGAGAAGGCGAAGAGCGGATACCGGCCACGACTGCTGCGGCTACTCCACGCCGACACCAGAACCCCCAGCGGCACCACGTCTACCGCCGAGAAGCTCCATGCCAACACCCCCAGAACGGGAAACCTCTCTAGCACTGATGCCACCCCGAGGACCGCTGTGACGAGCCATGACTGGAACCCCAGGACTAGCACCCGCAGAGCCAGCACCCTCTCCAGCACCCTCTCCAGCACCCGTGCCACCCCTAGGACTGCCGGGACGAGCCCCAACAGCAATCCCAGGACTAGCAGCCCCAAGACAGTGCCCTCTCTAGCACTTGCACCCCTTGAGCGCGCGGACCCTTGGGGCGGCGGCGGCGGCGGCTGCTGCTGCTCCTGCTTCTGCGGCGACGGCGGCTGCTGCAGCGGCGCGGAAGGAGACACTGGGGTGGAGACAGGCAGCAAACCCAGAGCCGCAGGGCCACCAGAGTCAGCCGACTCCTCCGCCGGGACGACCGACGGAAGGGGAGTGACGTGAGACACACCAGACAGGGCAGGACGGGGAGGAGGGGGGGGCAGGGGCTACAGGAAGAGGAGGAGTGAGGGGCATGGCGCAGTCGGCCCTCGACGCAAGGCGTGCACGGAGGCGCGGGCGAGGGAGGGAGAGCACGGAGCGACACAGGGAGACCTAAGACAAGACTGTGCTGGGACATGTGACGCAGACGCGGAAGTGCGGGGTGATTTAGGCGGTGGTGCTACAGTAGCGATGGGTGAGTGAGCGCGACCAACACGAGCAAGCTGCAGCGAGCTGCGTGGATGCAGGAAACAGGGGGGACGCACCCACCGAGGGTCCAGCATAAACAGGCCGGACATTGGGTCCCGGGGGAACGTCGCAAGGGGGGTACCTGAGGAGGCCTCGGTACAGACAGCGTACCGCTCGTGACCAGGGAACGTAATGGTGACACCGAGGTCCTGAAGGCAGCCGACACCAACTAGGTTCTTGGAGAACAAAGAGATGTGCAGACTTGTACGAGAACCCGAGGGAACCGCCGGACAGGGAAGGGTAGTGGAGCTACGGGCAACGATAGGACCGGAGGAGGGGTCAGCAAGCACGACAACGGCAGGCGCAGCAAGCGGCGTGAGCGCAGCGTGGTCGCGGAAGAAGCAGGCAGACGCGCGTAGCTGCGGCCGGCGGAGGAGCGAGCGTGGAGCTAAGACTAAACAAGGCAGGAGGTCCTATGCCTGACGCAGCAGGGAGGGTTTCTACACATAGGAGGCAGATCTAAACGAGGCAACACAGAGTAATAAGGTCTGGGCACACTAGAGGCATCAGCATACAGGGAATGCAGAGCCGAACAAATATGATCCATATCTAACTCAAAGACAGGCACACCGTGGTGCACCAGACTGGCCCAGTTAGGGAGGTCCGGCGCCGGGCCGAAGCGGCGACGAAAGAAGTCATCGAGGCGGCGGAAGAAGCGGGCGGTAGGGTGTGGGCGACCACACACAGTGCTGTGGAGGGGGCAGATTTAGAGCTTGTACTGGAAGCCCCCAGTGCCGAAGCTGCCACCCGACGCCGAGCTGCGAGGGCCGCCAACGTGGCCACCACTACCAGAGGCATCGGGCCACCCCGGCGGGAGGCGGCCCCACGACTGCTGCTGCTGCGGCTGCTACTGCTGCGGAGGCTGTTGCTGCTGCTCGTGGGCACCAGCCCCGGTCCCCTCGTCGGACCCACTGTCCACGCCCCCACCTCCACCACCCCACCACCCCCACCATCACGCCCCCCCTTGGGGCGGCGGCCCAGATGCTGGCGCTGCGAACTCAGCGGCAGGGGCTGTCGCGGTGACAGCGGCAGAAACGTCAGTGTAAGTGCACTGGGAGGGCGCACAACCCTGAAAGATAGGAACTGCCGCAGTACCGCTCGACTGACCGATAGTGCGTTGGCGAGTCTCTATCTCAGACATGGCGGTAACAAAGGCGGCAAGGGTAAGGTCACCTGGGTGCTGACTAAGGAAATGGTCGCAGGCAATGGCTAAGCGGTCCGGAAGGCGCATGGCAATGAGGTACAGGGTAGCGCAGAGCGGGGACCTAGGCCTCAGTGCTAGTTGCGCGGTACTGTAACTAGTCTCTAGTGCACGGAGGTGACTGTCTAGGTCAGCAACAGTGGGGAAGGCGGCGAGATCAGGGAATAGCATGGGGAGGATCTGGGGGCCAGCAGAGGTGGAGGCGGGCATGGAGTAGCGCGCTACTACAGCATCTAAGAATTCCTTGGCGTTCGCGACAGCAGTAAAGCGCGGACGCTCAGACAGGGGAAGGGCGTGACTAATG